GAAGTCTATCCCTCGACAAACGTTTTGCCGAAAACGGTTACACTATCATTCCTCATTCTGTCCTGGCCTATCTATCTACTCTTTACCCTTTAATCCCACTGCCGCCATATCACAATTTCTCATTCGTTGTGCGGTTAACTCGACGACACGTTACGCGTCATTGGACAAACGTGACTTTTAAGGCGAGCCATGCAATTCCCACATCACTGGGAAAATTCAAGGTATACTGACCTTATATATGCCTAGTAATTATGAGCATAATAAAAAGTGAACAAATGTATTGAAAATTAGATGGGCGCAGGAAACTATGAGAACAGTAAAGAGATGGGCGATTTGGAAAATTTTCTCCTCGTCAAAATGTGTGCCCTTTTTGGCAAAACTAGTATGGCCTCATCACACCTGCTATCCACCACGACCCCATATCTTTCGATCGGCTAATCCGACTCAGGCCTCCGATTCACATCTTCTTCGTGGACCCGTGGATCCGTTCCTTATTTTCTGGTTGACCGATTTTACTCGGTTACAGTTCCAGTGGGCATTTCACTCCAGGCGCTATTTATCAAGGCCCTAGAAGCCCGTACAGTGACGTTTCACTGAACAGAGCGCCTAGGCTCTGCTTCCCATGCTTCCAGATATCAGACCTTCCCTTCACGGGTCCTCTATTTCATTAAACTCATGTTATCTGAGCAAACTGTGGACGCCTACCTCTGGTCGTATGCGACATCTCAAGTGGATTTCTAGTACGTTTTGTCCATAACGCCGAATTTTCGTGACGGTTTGCTTATCCTTCTGCTCAGCTCCCTGACTGCCAAGCCTCTAAAGTTGTACTGGTTAATTCGAAATGGACATCACTCATTGACGTCTTCGCTTTATTGCCGAAAACCCACGCCTCTCACTTTCCTCATAGCGATCCATTTTCCTGCGGTTAGCGGTAGATCCTTGTTCCAGGCGTCTCCTTTTTGCTGGTCTTACTCCAATCTTGTTTTCCTCGAGTTTGCGTAGGTAGTAGGCAAAGTTATCGCTAAATCTAACTTCCTCCAATCTCCTGTTTATTAGATTTTTCTCCCCAACGATGTCAAAGCTCCCCCTAGTCTTCCGCTTCCATGTGATTTCATCGTATGAGGCCCTTCTTTCTGTTGCCTTCCAATTGATCTCGTGTCCTGTCTGTGCGATGTGTTCGGCTAGTTCTGATCTTTCGGTATCCATTTTCTTGCAGAGCCTCTGTTATTCTTTGATTCTTGTGCTAATTTTTCTCTCTGTTTCGCCAGTATATTTCTATTCGAAGGCGCCGCATGATATACAGTAAACTCCTGAACAATCCTATTTGTCTACCCTTTCATGTTGCGTTAGTAGACTTGTGAAAAGTGTTCATTTCTCTTTCATGGCCACCTGAATATTCCATTTACTCAATATTGGCAGTAGTTTTTGAGTTAATTCGTAGGAAGGTAGGTATATCCACTTTTGTGAATCTTTCATCTTCCTTACTATTCTTTTATAGTTCCCGTACTGCCATCGGCTTTTCACTGCCCGTATGTTTCTTTGTATTACTTTACTATGGTAGCTATCGCCGAGGAATATCCTAGTCAATTTGTCCAGCTACTCATTCCATAATTCCACATCCGTTAAGCATAGGCTTCTGCTGATCGTGCTCCTCATTGTTTCCTTTCTTTAGCCTGTAGTTGTGATGGGACTGGAAATTGAGTGTTATCCCGGCATATGAATTTATTCTAAACAATTTCATTTTGAGCATCCCATTCGAGCGAATCACTTCAACAATCATGGTGACCGCTCAGCTTCCATCGTAAATTTAATTTTTCCATCAATCTGGTCTACAAACTTTAGAAACTCTTTTGGTTTTTCTCCTCTATGTGACCAAAGTGCGAAGTAATCATCCAGGTACCGCATGAGCACTGCCGGTTGTAACGGTGCCATCTTAAAGCTCTCTTCTATTTTATTCATTTATACGTTGGCCAAAAGTGGTGAGAGCAACGATTCCATGGGAAGTCCAAATATTTGTTCATAGATGTTCCCGTTGAATGTAAAATAGGTTGTCCTTATTGTCAAGTTGATTGGTCTTGTCAACGACTCCCTACCGATCCGTTGTGATTCGAGGATATCCTCTTCTCGGTCCAGGATTTCCAGCAGGGCCGTTAGCGTATTTTCTCCGGAGATATTTGTATACATAAATTCCGCATCGAAATTTACCAATAAGTCCGCCATGTTTTTGATTTTTTTGAGAATATTCTTATGAATATTTCACCGTGTTTGATAGCCTCTTATTTAATTTCTTGAGTTTCAAACATATAAACTTTGCCAATTTGTGT